GATAGCCAGTCGGTGGGACAAGGAAGATGGGTCCGGATGGTTCGCCATCAGAAGTACAGCCTGTGTACTAGCCGAGGCGGATGGAGATATTAGGCAGGCCAATAAAGCAGGTGGAGAGGCACTTGTACTGGGCTGTCATTGATGCATTCAGCACAGGAAGAGAAAGTTTATTTATAGTTAATAATGCTTTTACGAAAAAAAGAATTCTCTGCGTTATTAGTACATGCATCATTGCTATAATATACAAAACTATATTCTAACATTACGGCAATACACTATATTCTGCTATGCATACTTCACCGAATATTAATTAAGCTTAGTGTTGGTTCGACCGTATTTCGCAACTTGGTCGGGCGTCAGGAAGGCCTTGTGGAACGTCCTCTGACATAGTATTCGTGATTTCCAGCATTATACCATAGACTGGGTTCATTCCAAAACGTCTCGCTGGCATCGTCAGCGAGAGGCGCCATCCTAAGCACAGAATTACAACTTATCAAAGTGACAAGTGAAGGCAATCCCTTTGACCAATTTTCTGTTCAATCATTATGGCATCACTCCTCGCCCCTATTTTTTGCTCTACCTTCTAGTGTCGCATCTCTTTGTTTCAACCCCACTTCATATGGCCCATCCACTCATTCACACAGTTCTGTGCTTTCGTTTCCTCCAGTGTCGCCTAAGATTGTGTAGCTACAAGTGAGTTAATAGAACCGTGATCATCTTCACCACCGGTACCAGGTACAATTTGCATGGCTTCTAACCTGGGGCAAGACCCCCAGTACCCAAAGGAAAACCATTTAGACCGACAATCAATATCAAACATGGACCTACACATACATTGGCGAAATTTATCTGCCTCACATTAAGGAAAGTGAATGACAGATTATCGAATACAGTGAAGAACTCATACGACTTTTGCCAAAGAATCATAGGCGCAAGGTTGGAACGAAACGAACTTTTGGTGACTAATTGTCTGAAAAAACTTTAATGCCATCATTAAGTGCCATGCGAATCTATTAGTTTAACTGATTATCATTCATCTTAACACAAGTTTTTCTATGTGTGTCAGATACAAATTAAGAAAAAAAAATTTCATTCTCCATTTAATAGATTAGGGAATAGGTTGAATGTGAGGAACGGTGGTAGAAGGTTGAGTAAGAACTATGTATAGAAGTGGGTTGACCTCGTTGTCGCAACTTGGTCTTGTGTTCAGGGCGACTATGTAGAACGCACCGA